AGTAGAAAATGGAGAGTAGATGAGTTCCAAGGAAAAATCCTGGGACACTTCATATTGTAGAGTGACAAGTGAGAAGACAGTAGGGAAGGTAGAGACAGATTCGCTGGTGAGGCAAGAAGAACCCCAGCAGCATGTGGAGTCCAGGAAAAACCAAGAAATGAAAGGATTCCAGTTAACTTGGGGATCAAAGTCCAATGCTGTTGAATGGAAACTAGGTGTTCTCACTTTCTGATTGCTAATGAACTTGCGCAGAGTGGTTTCCATGGAAGGATATAGGCATAGGCCTACTTGGAGTAACTTTGGGAGATAACAAGAGGACTTAGAGGCAGGAAGTTTGGATAGATCTTTCTAGAAGTTTGTTATGAGAGGGTGGGGAGAAATATGCTTGTATACTGACGAGTATGAAAGGGAAAATGATGAGACATGAAAGTAGTAAGAGGGGATGGAGTCTTGTATCCACATACACAGGCCGACTTCAGTCCAAGCCCAAACATAATTACATCAGGACAGAGCACCAGCCAAACAGGCAATTAACCCAGAATGTGTAATTTTGCATTGACCATGGAGCTTTTTTGTATTTCTCAGTGAAAAAGGGAAACGGAGCCACAAGCTGAGAGTAAGGGGAAGGAGGTGTTGGAGGTTTGAAAGAATTTTTGAGGAAAGTAGGAGGATAGAGATATATGATATTGAAGAAGCATTAAGGGCTCACTTTGGTATCAGTGTAACCAGTGAGAAGTGAGGTCATCACTGTCACTCTTTCTTTTTTTGCTGCAAGCAATTTCAGCCATTAGGGCACAGATGCAGAGGAGAAAGAGAACAGGCTTTCACCAGGCCTGTGGAATAGCCAAGTGAAAATAAACAGAGGAGGAATTACTACAGTTAAGAGTATATGCCAGAAATGTGACTGTTGTCCCTGGACCTTGAGCTGGGAAGAAGTCTGAGGGTGAGAAGGAAGGATGATCAATAGGTTGTAAGTCCTGGCGTGTCAGAAAAATCTTTAGAGTTGCATTACTAAAGAGAATGGGTGTTTGGGAAGAGGTGGCAAGAGATTGAGATATTTGCAGTGCAGATGATGGAAGTAAGCAGCTGTTGCTTAAGGGTAGTGCTGAATCCTCAAGGATTTAGCGTAAGACTGATGATTGTGAAGATGATTGTGCACGGGCAGAAAGTGCATGTATGAACTCTGATACAGGAAACACCAAGGCATTTTGAAAAGAAAGGTAGGAGCAAGATTTGGAAGCAGCAGCAAGAGAGAGAACATCCATCCAGCCTCAGTACAAGTGCTGTGGCAGAGAAGGCAGCCACCTCCTGAGAGAGGCAGCAAGGGAAGTAGTGTGCTCGGGCAAGAACCAGGCTTCAGTGAGAGTCAGGTACTGAAGGGAACTGCTGAGAAGAGAGCCAGAGATGTCAACATCATGACTGGCCACCAACTAGAGGGCACAAAGATGTGGTGTTGGGAAGAGTTGAAGGATGAAGTTGGAAATGTTGGGTGTGACCAATGGAGCCCCACGGGAGGCAGAGTGCAGACAAGGGGGAGTCATGTGGGTCTCACTTTGGATAGAGGTTTACTGAGGTCTAGCTTGAAATGATCAAAGAACATCATGGCAAGACAGTTTGGGGAAGAAAGGGGTGTGAATTTGTGTGTGTGTGTGTGTGTGTGTGTGTGTGTACCAAGAGAGTCTTACTCTGAGCTTCCAAGTCTCTGGGTCCCCCTCTGGGTTTCTGATCATACAGGTAATGAGGCTGGGAGGAGCAGTCTTGCTTTGATAGGAGATTCCTGTTGATTTAGCTACAGTCCTGGAAATCAAACAATTTTAGCTAATGCCTTGTTGCCCAAAGAATATCACAGCTCTGTGGGCAAGAAGGGGGAAAAAAAGACCAATATTGCATAATGGATAAGACAACTTGTGATGTGGGCTGTAAGAAATGGCCCAAGGATGTCAGGGATACATACAAGGTGCGTGTGTGTGTGTGTGTGTATGTGTGTGCGTGTTTCATTACATTAGAGTTTACCAAGAGGTAAAAGCAAAGTATAGTGTGTTCCTAAGGAATGGCATTGGAATAACGGATTCTAACATTATTCAATAAACCAGCTGCATTATAGTCAAAGATGACTCAACATGGTTAACAGGATGCAGGGTAGAGCAGAAAAACAATCAGGGCTTTATGAACAAGCAACTAGAAAGAAAAGGCTCTTATAACAATTTTTACACCAATAAGTTTTATGTGTAAAAGCAATGAAAAATATTTTTTGTGTGTGTAAGTAAGGGACTTTGACATGTATTTTTGGTAAAAGTAAGGGGTATGACCAGTATTTTTTTAAATAATGTACTCAAATGTCTTATATATAATTGAGAAGGTATTAAAAATCAAGAAATTAAGAATGAGAAAACTTCAGTATAAAAATATTATAAAGGGGCCTGGTGCAATAGCCTAGCAGCTGAAGTCCTTGCTTTGCATGCAGCAGGATCTTATATGGGTGCCAGTTCTAATCAGGAAGACCCTACTTCCTATTGAGTTTCCTGCTTGTGGCTTGGGAAGCAGCAGAGGACGGCCCAACGCCCTGGGACCCTGCATACCCCATGGGAGACCCAGAAGAGGCTCCTGGCTCTTGGCTTTGGATTGGCTCAGCTCCAGCCATTGTGGCCACATGGGAAGTGAATCACCGGATAGAAGATGTTCCTCTTTGTCTCTCCTTCTCTCTGTAAATCTGCCTTTCCAATAAAAAACAATTAATCTTAAAGAAATAAGTATGTAAAGGGCTGGCACCTTTCAGAGCTGTGGATGGTTACCCAACTTCCCTTTTAATAATGGGATAAAAGTAGACATAAGTTCAACTAGGATAGAAAGGTAGGACACCCAGGGAACTACGGTTTGTTCATTTTTACAGAACCCCAATTAAAATTGATAATTGCTGTTACCTATGTCTGTTCCTTACTGGTTAAAAAGCAAGCAGAGGGAATCAATAGCATAAAAAAGTCACATTGTTTAAATGATCACTTAGAATAGTTCCCCAGTTGGTTCATAAACTTCCCAAAGGTAAGGCTATATCTTTATTTTTGTGTTTCTGTTGGCACAAATTATTTGGCAAAAAAGAACTAAATTTTATGTTAATTTTTATTCTGCTTACAGGAGCAATGTAACATGATTTTTGATGCAAAAGAATTTTACAGAGATGTTAAATAAAAGCCACCTAATCCAATATGCCAAAAAGTATGAACTTATACATTTATTTTTTTTAATTGTATACATTTTATTTTTGTTCTGTCCTCCATCTGTTATAATACCAAGTATCCTCTGCAGGATACAGTGTACTGCCATATCCTCCATGTGCATCTGGATATGCGTTTACTTTGCACAAGATAATTCATTAATTTGGAAGGCAGTTACAGAGAGAGGAGTAGAGAGCTTCACTCTGCTGGTTTACTCCCCAAATGGCCACAATAGCCAGGGCTAAGCCAGGCTAAAACAAGGGGGTCTAGAAATCCATGTAGATCTCATACATGGGCAACAGAGTTCCAACCATGTGCATTATCTTCCACTGCTTTCTGAGGTACTTAACAGAGAGTTGGTTTGGAAGTGGAACATCCAGGATTTGAACCAATGCTCTGATGTGGAATTCCTGAGGTACAAGCAGTGACTCAACTCACTATGCCACAATGCCAGCCCACAATTACTCTTCTTCACTATAAAAATACATGCTTTTACTAGTGCTATTCAACATATTATTGGCTGTATTTGCTAGAGGTATAAGACAGGAAAAAGGGATTAAAGGAATTCAAATTGGAAATAAGGAAGTCAAATTATCCCTATTTGCAGATGACATGATTCTTTACATAGGAGAACCAAAAGACTCAATAAAAAGACTATTGGAAATCATGCGAGAGTTTGGCAAGGTAGCTGGCTACAACATCAGTGAACATAAATTGATGGTCTTAGTGTACACAAACAACTCCATGACTAGAAAGAACAGACTAATCCAAATTAGAAAGAATGTTAATACCTTGGATCAAACCTAACCAAAGATGTGAAAGACCTCTATGATAAAAATTACTGAACATTTAAAAAATAGGAGACATTAAAAGATGGAGATATTTACCATGTTCCTGCAATGGGAGACTCAGCATAATCAAAACATCCATATCACCAAAAGTAATATACACATACAGTGCAATCCCAATCAAAATCCCAACATTCTTTTACCGTTGGAAAAGATGACATAGAGATTCACCTAGGTACAAAAGACCACAAATAGCCAAAGCTATCCTGAATAATAAAAATAGAGGTCCATGAATCACAATTCCAGATTTCAGGACAACACAGGGCAATGATAATCAAAACTGTGTGGCACCGCGACAAAAACAAAGAAGATCAGTGGGACAGAATAGCAACTCCAGTACTGAGCCCACACATGCACAGCCAACTAATCTTTGACAAGAAAACTGAAAATAATCCAGGGAAAATGTTGGGTTCTTTCAACAAAAGCTGTTAGGACAATTGTATACCAGCCTGTAGACATAAAAGACAAGACCCCACGCATTTCACCCTACACAAAACATAGCTTTAAATGGACCAAGAACTTCAGTCTGCACCCAGAAACTATTGAACTCTTAGAGGAAAACATAGGAATCACTCTGCAAGGTATGAGTATAGGCAAAGACTTATTAGAAAAGTCACCAAAAGCACAGGCAGTCAAGTCTAATGACATATACGATATAAGAAATCTGGGAAACATAGATACAAATTTGTTAAGTAGACATTTTTGTTAATACCATATTCCATGTATTATTTTAAAATGTTTTTGTTAGTATACATGTATATATTATATATATAAAGGTACATATGTATATATATGCATATCTACCTTTATATGCATATATAATGCTATATATATTGATATGCAAAAGTATAGATTTTATTTTTTGTATATATTATATAAAGTTGTGTGATACCATAGCTATATGTACAGACATTCACATGATACTGCATTTTCTTTACAGATAATCAGCTCACTAGTTGTAGAAACCATGTATTGGAGTTTAGAGAAACTGTGAAAAATTTGAAAAACAAAGCTGAAAGCAGTCGCCAAGAGCTGATAGAAGCCTTTAATCAAATGAAAAATGAATTTATGATGACAGACAAATTCGAAAATTCAGGTTTGTGTTGCTTTTGTTTTTGTGTGGTTGCCAGCTTATTTTGTATTATGTTTTTGAAAATCTAGATTTAATGCCTTCTGAATTTTGGGCTACTCCCAATAACTGTAAGTAGTCTGTTACCATTCTTTTATTGTAAGACATGAAGAAATCAGAGACCTCATTGATTCACTTGCCCTCATCTCCACCTTGACAGTGATCTTCCTGGATTTCCGTTAATGATCGACCCACTAGACACAGCTAGAAATCTGAGCAAATCTACTGATCCGTCGCTCTCCATGTTGCATACTTAAATGTCAGTCACCAAGCAGTCCTATTGCTCCACTATCCTTGGTGTCTCACAGACCTGTCCAAACTTGCCCCCCAAATCCCCACACACTGGTCAGCCCACCTTCCTAGGATTCCTTAGGAATAACTAGTACCAGGCAGCGTTCTTTCCAATCTTGTTACCTTCTGGGAAGTTCCACGGTCCTGTGCATAACCCTTCAGTGCACTCCAGTCCTCCAGGGCATAGTGATCTCATAGACTTCTCCCCGGTGGTGAGATCACCCCCTCCCCAGGCAACCATTGGCCAGTTCTGCCTGCTGCTATAGTTTTCCCAGAATACCACTGGAATAGAATCATGCAGCAAGTAACTTTTGTGTCTGACTTCTTTCATTTAGCATGGTTTCATCACAAATTGTTGTGTGGCCAGTTATCTTTTTCTGGCTGAATAGCATTTCTTTTTATGTACTGAAGAATTATTTTGTCTATTTGTAAGGCAGAATGACAAAAAAAGAGAGAGAGAGAGAGAGAGAGAGAGATCTTTACCAGGAGATACATTCCCCATATGGTTGTGACAGTTGTGGGCTGTGCCAAGAAAAAGCCAGGATCCTGGAACTCCTTCTGGGTCCCCTCCCATGTGGGTGGCATGAACCCAAGAACTTTGGCCATGATCTGCTGCCCTATCAGGTACATTAGCAGGAAACTGGATTGGAAGCAGAGAAGATGAAATTCTAATTGTTGCTCCATATGGGATGCAGGTCTCACAAGTGGTATGTTAACTCATTGTGCCACAATGGTAACCCTTGAGTGGCATTTCATCATTTGACTATACAATGAATAGTCTGTTCCTTACCAACTAAAGGCATCTGAGCTGCTTTCAGTTTCAGAGAATTACAAACTAAATGTTTCTACAGACATTCATTTTTTTTTGTATAAAGAAAAGTTTTTTTTTTTTTTAAATATTAATACATAGAAGTAGGACTGATGGCTGCTTCCTAAGAAGTTGCTAAACTGTTTTCCTGAGCAGCTGGACCGTTTAGTATTCCTTGCTACAATGTGTGACCATTGCAGTGACTCCAGGTTACTAGAGCCCAGGTTATTGCAAGCCACTGTAGCCCCCAAATGATCATGGTTTCACATGGATTTTAGATTGTATTTCACCAGGGACTAACAAGCAGTTTTTCAATGTGCCCACTTACCATGCAGATATTTTCTTTACAAGTATATCCATTGAAGTCTTTACCTGCTTTAAACTAGGTGGTTTCTTTTCTTAGCTGAGGGTTTTTAAAATTTTATTTATTTGAGCAGTAGAGAAACAGAGGGGAGGAAAAAAAGAGACTTTTCTCATCTGCTGGTTGATTTGCCATTTAGCTAGAAACCAGAAACTCATTCTAACTCTGTGTGGGGTCCGAGTAATGGAGCCTTCACTTGCAACCTCCAAGAGTGCACATGAGCAGGAAACTGAAATTGAGAGCAACTGGGACTTAAATCCCACACTATGCTTGGCATGTGGGTGTCCCAAATAGTGATTTATCTGTTGCACCAAAGCCCACCCTCTTATTGAGTTTGGAGGAAGAGTTGTATGTGTTATCCTGGGTATTAACCAGATGGGTATGACACTTGGAAATGTTTTATTCCAGACCTCATCATTTCTTTTTTATTTACAGTGTCTTTTTGAGAGCACACATTTTGAATTTTTGATGAATTTTGTTCAATTTCATCTATTGATCTATATATTATTTTATGTATTAATATGTTGTATCTAATAACTAGTTTATATAGTTCAGGGTCAGGAATATACTCTTTCATGTGTTTAAAATTTCCAGAGTTTTATGTTTTTTGTTTGTTGTTTTTAACTTGAGGGACAGAAAGAGAGAGAGATGGAAGTTTTCCATCTGCTAGTTCACTCAGCAAGGCTCCCAATAGCCAAAGATGGGCCAGGCCAAAACCCAGAGCTGAGAACTCAGTCCAGGTTTCCTGTGTAGGCACAGGCACCCAGCTCGCAGAGCCATCATCACTGCCACTCATGATGGACATCAGAGAGAAGCTGGAAGCAGAGTGGAGCCAAAAGAACCCATGCGGTCTTGGCATGTGAGCATTCCACTTGTTGTCTTAACAATAAGGCTAAAACACCCGGCCTAATAGTTTTATGTTTTACAAGTAAGTGCATGAAACTTTCTGAGTTAATTTTTGTATAGGTCAAGACTCAAAATATTTTTTTATATTTATTTATTTTATGGAAAGTCAGATACACAAAGAGGAGGAGAGATAGAGAGGAAGATCTTCTGCCCACTAATTTACTCCCAAGTGGCCATAATGGCTGATGCTGAGAAATTCCGAAGCCAGGAGCTTCTTCTGGATCTCCCACATGGGTGCAGGGTCCCAAGGCTTTGGGCCAGCCTCAACTGCTTTCCCAGGCTACAAGTGGGGAGCCGGATGGGAAGCGGGGCCGCTGATATAAGAACCGGCATGCATATGGGGTCCCGATGTATGCTAGGTGAGGACTTTAGCCACTAGGCTGCTGCGCAGGTCCCAAGACTCAAATATTTTCACATGGATATCAAACTGTTCCAGCAACACTTTTTTTTTGAAGTAACCTTTCTTTGAATTTCCTTTGTACTTTTGTCAAAATTCAATAACTGGTATAGTTTTATCTCAGTTTACTGTGGTCTATTCCAATAATCTGTACATTTATTTTCTGTGTGACACCATGCTGTTTTAACTAGTGTTACAGAGTAGGAATGAAAATTGAGTAGTATATGGTCTCCAATTTTATATTTTTCATACATAATGATGGTGGCATATTCTAATGAATAGTACAAATGGAGTCATTAAATGCAGACTACAAAAACAAGTTACAGATACAAACTCTAATCACATGATGTTAATCAAAGCAGAGGAAACCAGCTATAGCATGACTCACTTAGACTTCCTTCACTTGGAACTGACAGTTCTTTTGGCCTCTGGCTTTCCAGCTCATTGTGCTTAAATGTGCTATGCTTTAAAAATAAATCTGGGTCCCGGCACAGTGGCCTAGTGGCCAAAGTCCTCGCCTTGAATTCACTGGGATCCCATATCGGCACTGGTTCTAATCCCGGCAGCCTTGATTCCCATCCAGCTCGTGCCTGTGACCTGGGAAAGCAGTCGAGGATGGCCCAAAGCCTTGGGACTCTGCACCTATGTGGAAGAGCCAGAAGAAGCTCCTGGCTCCTGGCTTTGGATCGCTCAGCGCCAGCTGTTGTGGCCACTTGGGGAGTGAATCATCAGACGGAAGATCTTCCTCTCTCTCTCTCCTCTTTGTATATCTACCTTTCCAATAAAAGAAATAAATATTTTAAAAAAATAAATCTGAATCAGTCATCTTTGTCCTACATGTTGTAACAAGTATGGTTTTGATAACTCACATTTTAGAGTATTCCTTTTATATTGAATCTGTGAATTATTAATTTAACTTTTTGAAACTTGTATCCAAAGGAGAAAAGTCTTTACAATCTCAAACTCAGACGTGTTATTATTCTTCTCTTCCAGTTGAAAATAAAGTGGACACGCTGAATCAAAATCAAAAAGTTTCTAATGCATTTGAAGACTTAAAGTTCTTTTTCCCTCATCTGAAAAACGCAGGCAATATTTATCCTAATGTACTTATTGGTAAAGGAAGAAAAAATGGTAAGAAGTTTAAGGAAATGAAATCTTTGGGGATGTATTTTTTAAGTTTTAAAATGTAAACCATGCATATAGGACTTGAACTCATACATAAACCACAAGCTTACTTGATATTAATTTAAACAAACAGAAGTCAGTACCTTCTCAGAAGACAAAATTCAGTGAGCATTTGATGACTTGAATTCAAATTCCATTCTATTATAAAGGCTTTGAAAATAAGTCAGTAGAGTTTAATATGCATTAAATATCTACCTAAGTAAATGGCAAATATTTTCTCCTTTGTTTTCATAAATATATTCTTACCTGGTAACCTTCCTGTTTTCCCATCTTTCTGAGACTGGGGTCAGCAAAGACTTTACAGGAGAGTCGTTATATGATGAGCTAAGCATTGAAGAATGAGCATAAGTTCACATAAGTATTCATGAAAAAAAAAAAGGCACATGAGTTTAAAGCATTTAAAGCCAGGCTAGGCCAAGTCTCAGGACTGCTGCCATTCCCACACATTTCATTCATTCCAGTTACTGTAAGTCAAGATTATAGACTGCCGGTTTTTACATAAAGTTGTGTTGGAACACAATTATTCATTCACTTACTGTCTGCATTCTGCATTGACTTTTGTTCTACACAAAGTTGTCATACCACTGACTGTTTGGCCTAAGTGCCAGAAATGTTTTCTGATTGTCTACAGAAGGTTCTTGATCCCTGAGCTGTCTAGTACCTGGGGAATAATCAGTGCTGTTCTGTGTCATTTGCATCTGACATATTAACCAAGCTGATTGTGTTGGGATACAGGTATCCAAGGATGATTTTCAATGTCTACTGAATATTCAGGGTTATCATTCTATGTTTTCTCTCGTTTTCCAAATTTAACTTTCTCTGCCCAGTGCAGTATGGGCTACTGTTGTCATCTGTTTAATGACTGAGAAAATAGAGGCACAGATTAAGAAACCATTTGAGTTACAATTCTGCCTGCCTCATATTTCATCATAGTCTCAGGGGGATTGTAGCAGAAGCCCATGACACAGAGTGTAGGGAAGGAGGTAGAGAGATGTTGCTGATGGGAGGCGGAACAATGCTCATGATATATGAGCTTGTGATGGTACAGGGATAGTGTAATTACTAGAGCAGTAATCAATTCTGAATAATTTCCTAATTCAGTTACACACATCCTCATTTTTTTAAATTTTACTTTCATTCATTTTTATCTCCTCAACAGGCAGAATAACAGAGAGATTAAGACAAACAAGAGACAGAGAAGAGAGCTAGAGAGAGACAGAGAGAGTTCTTCTATCTGCTGGTTCACTCCCCAAATACCTCCAATAGCCAGAGTTTTGTCTATGATCAGAAGGGATATTTCCTCTTGGAAAATAAAAGATCCTAGCACATAAAACATACACAAAAGTATTGAAGCCTATGGCTCAGTCTGGTGGACAGACTGTCAAACTTATCTGTCCTGTTTCTGAGTTTTGCATGTATCTCAAGTGATTTCTGTCTAATCACTCCTTTCTGATTTATTTATGATTGAACATGTCATCATTTCCTGCCTGGTCTATTGAAACAGACTTGTAACTTTTCCCATAGTGTTAGAATCACTGAGGTCAATCTAGTCTTTATACTTTCATCAGAGGTATGTTACTAAAGTTTATAGCTAAAAACATTTCACCCTCACATTTTTTGTTTTTGACTTACTCGTATTTATTGGAAAGGCAGATTTACAGAGAGAAGGAGAGACAGAGAGAAAGATCTTCTGTCCACTGATTCACTCCCCAAGTGGCTGCAACAGTTGGAGCTGAACCAATCCAATGCCAGGAGCCAGGAGCTTCCTCGTGTCTCCCATGGGTCTCCCACAAGGGCACAGAGTCCCAAGGCTTTGGCTATCCTCTTCTGCTTTCCCACGCCACAAGCAGGGAGCTGGATAGGAAGTGGAGCAGCAGAGACATGAACGAGCTTTCATATGGGATCCCTGCACTTGCAAGGCAAAGATTCAGCCACTAGGCCATTAAGCCAGGCCCACTTCACCCTCAGTTAAAATCCTTCAGTAGATTCTCAGTGCACATAGAAATAAAGCTGGCTCTTTGATGGGCTGTGTACGTCAAAACTCAACTTCTGCTACTCTTTCCTCTCAAGAAACCCTGAACCACCCACAGCTCCCAGAAACAGGACAAAAGCTTTGAGATGCCCTTGTGTTTTGCATTTGCTGCTCACTGTCTGTTAACCAGTGCAGTACCTGCTCCCAACCTGCAGTTGACTCATGATGTGACTGTTAGGACTTTCAAGGTTAAATGAAAACTTCTTGATGAAGTTGTTCCTTGTTGCCTCATTGTTCCTTTCTCTTCTGCATGCATGTTAGACCCAAGGAATTTAGTGCTGAATGAGGTGGGGCAAATAATCTAATATTCTAGAGTCCAGGAGGAATGGCGTGTAAGTGCCATGAAAGGGAAAAAATAATTGAAATAGGTTGAATTAGGGAAAGGCAGGTGGGTTGTGAAGAACAGACAAGTAGAAGATGGCCATCTTGGTAGAGGAAAAAAAATGTATTGGGTTCAAATCCTGGCTGCCTCACATCTGATCCCGCTCCCCTGCTGGTACACATAGAAAAGCAGAAGATGAGCCAAATGCTCCGACCTGCTCATCCATGTAGGAAACCTGCTGAATTTCCAGCCTCCCGGCTTTCACCTGGCCCATCTCTGGCTGCTGTGGCCATTTGGGGGAGTGAACCAAAGCATGGAAGATCACTTTCTCTAGGTTTCTCATTTCTCTCTGCCACACTGACTTACAAATAATAAAACAAATTATTTTTTTAGTTATTTAGAGATATGGATTCATATAATCAAATAATTTGGAAACCACTTCATTCGTTTTTTTCAAATGAAAGTACTCCACAGTTGTTTGCTGTTTTGTGTTTCAATATTCCCTCAGGAAGGGTGTTAGTCAGTGTGTGGCACTGTGTACTCAGTCGGATGAAACCTGTTACTAATGGGAAACAGTGCTGTTTTCACAACACCAGAATTCTCCAGGCCGACAACATCTTGGAGTGTACCTAATGCATTTACTAACAGTCCACTGCAAACGACAGTTTTCTCAACCAGAAAACCAAATAGCAGATAGGGATGAACACACTACAGTGTCACATCCTTCCTGTGACCCTAAGGCTCACAGAGATGTACAAGTAAGCATATGATTCCTGCTGACTTTAAGTGTCGACTGGGATTTGAAATGCTGATTTTAGATTCTGTGCCTGCAGTTTCTTTCGCACTGGGCATTCCCACGATCAGCAGAGGAAGTTACAGCTACCTGAAGCAAACACTCACCTCGGTTTTGTCCTGGATGACTCGCTCTGAGGAAGAGGACTCCGTGGTGATTGTCTCTGTTGCGGATGTATGTATGAACGGTAACAGGTTTTCCTGTCCCTTCCCTGCCCATCTCTAAATTCGCTTCTTCAGTGTTGATCACTGCACCTGTGTGGGTTATCATTCTTCCAAATAGTAATCCCCAGATGCTTTTTTAAGAGAACAGATAACATATTTAATGTTACTTAATGCCACTGAGAAGGAACTAAATACTTAAATCTTAAGAAATGTTGTCTAAATGTGGGAGATAATAAGCTTGGAAAACTTGAATTTCATTTAACACAGAATCTGTGCATACTATGTGAAACAGAGATCATATCTATACACAGAACATTAGAGCTGATGCTGTAATGCTACCAGCCAAATAGAACCTGGGTGTATGAATCCAGGGCTAATGAATATTAAGTAACAGCAAGGACCATTCATTGAGAGACTTCTGCCTGGAACTGATGAACCATGAATGATTTTGCTGGACATGATTTGTAACCTGAATCACATCCCTGTGAAGCTTACGGGTGAAGAAATTGCAGCCTAAGGACAAGGAGCACCTTTCCTGGTGCTTTATGAAGCAAGCACAGTAGGCCTGCGATGGCTCCATGGACTTCTATTTCGCCCATAATGCCATGTAAAGCTGCAGATGTTTAACGTCACAGAGCCTTTTGGAGGGAAATCTGGGGACACAGATGACATTTAAAATATATATATATTCTTTATCGCAGAAGTCCAGATTGATTCCAGGAATTTATCCTAAGAAGAGACTCAGGCAATTTTTTAAAAACATGACAATATAGTGTGGGAGCTGAGAACACAAACACTGATGCCTGATGGCTTTAAATTACGTGATGGTACACCTTTAGAGACAACTCAGATTTGTGTAACTTCCGTGTAACTCAGATTTGACAAGGATGCTGTCATCCTTCAAAGTGCAGACTTTATTTTTTTGAACTACTTATAGGCCTCTCTATATATTTTTAGATTTATTTATTTATTTCTATTGGAAAGTAAGTTATACAGAGAGGAGGAAAGATGAGAGGAAGATTTTCGGTCCGCTAATTCACTCCCCACATGAAGGCAACAGCTGGGGCTGGGCTAGACTGAAGCTAGGAGCTTCTTTGAGTCTCCCATGAGGGTGCAGGGGCCAAGTCTTTGGGCATCTTCCACTGCTTTCCAAAGCACATTAGCAGAGAGATGAATCAGAAGTAGAGCAGCCAGAACAAAAACTGTGATTTGTGCTGGAAGCAGTGGTTTAACCCACTATGTCACAACACCAGCCACTAAATGTCTTCCAGAGAGGGCCACCATCTGAAGGTGTTTGTAAACCAGCCTGTAACGTAATCTAGCACACAGTTCAGTGACAAGCAAGGCCATAGAGGGTCAGGAAGGAGGAAACCTTGGGAATCAAAGTGACTACTACTATCTGGGGGAAAGTTGACATCATCTTATAGCTTCTTATTGCAATTTACTCACAAGTGGGGACATTTCCAAAGAATAGTTCTTTCAAATAAACCATTCCAAAGTGACTGTAGTAAGAGTGAAACAGTTTCAAATTAAATACATTTGTAAACTAGTTTTGAGGTGTAAATAATAAATAGTAATGTTGCATATTGTGGCAAAGGAAGAATGCAATGTTTTCTAGATGCAAGTTGGATTTTTAAAATATTTTAAATTCTTGTGTAGAAACTGAAAGGACTAGTAGTGTTTCAGAACATAAGAACTTTCCACATTTGTATTAGATTTATACACAGCGAAAACCTGCCTGGAAAACTATGAAACATGCTCAGTTTCTGTATTTTTTTCTCATTTTTAGAGCAATGAAGATTATTTAAATTATGTTGTCAGTATGATTACAAAAAAGTAAGTAATAGCTGGCAAATTTAAAAACTAGTTATTCTCTATTTTCTCATTTCCTAGCCCATTTTTTTTTCTGAATTGTGTGACTAATTCATTGATGACCATGTTCTTTTCCATGAGCACAGACATGCAGAAAGAACCAGTAGTATCTGTCACGTTGTAATGAAATATATAGCTTGTGTTTCTCTCCAGTTTTGGAAGTTACCTCCCATTAGAATTCCTATTTTCCATGTAATAATTATTGCAATAACTATTCCCCCACAAAATTTATTGTTCCTAAGGAAATTTTGCAATGTTCTTATATTCCCTCTGGATGAAGTTACTTCATCGCTTGTGCTTGCCATCTCCTTTGGGGTAGCAGTGAAGGCACATCCTGACGAGTCACCGTGAAGTCATTCAGCAAACAAGATGTTCTGGGTTTGGCCCAGGCTTCCAGAGCCTTGTGTTCAAGTGGGTGACAACAACTTGGAATCACAGCACAGAGCTGGGTGTCATAAGGCAATATGAGAAGACAGAGAGGAGGGGTGTTAACTGAGCCGAACCTAAAGTGTCAAGCTCTCGGGCAGATGGGCTTGGTTTAACCCACTGTCACAACCCCAGCCACTAAATGTCATCTAGAGAGAGGTGTATGATCATGCCTAGCAAGTAGAATATCTTAGGAAGACAGAAGGCCAGTGGTTTTAGGAACTGTAAGTAAATCCTGGAGTGTGGATGTTTAGGACTAAGAGGGAAAACTGGAGCAAGGTAAGGCAGGCCACAGGGAGATCTCATCCTTTGGCACCATGCTAAGGAAGACGAACTCTGTGCTATAGATGAGGGTTGCAAACAGGGAGGAGGAAAGTTAACTTGGGGCAAGGAGACTGGAATGAAAGAATTGCTTCCTTAGAAGTTTTGCTTTTTCTTTGTGAATTACCTTAGATACTGTGTTGAGGATGAGAGAGTTGATGGGGCAGTAAAGTCAACTGGTGAAAACTTAAACTGGGTGACATATGGAAAGGGAAAGGGAATTGGCAAGATTAAATAAAATTCTGTGTATTTTTTGTTGTGTCCTGGCTGCTGCACTTTCAATCCAGCTCTCTGCTGATGGCCTGGGAAAGCAGTAAAGAACGGCCCAAAGCATTTGGACCCTGCATCAGTGTGAGAGACCCAGAAGAAGTTCCAGGTTCCTGTCTTTAGATCAGCTGAGCTCCAGCCATCACGGCTTTTGGGGAGTCAGCCAGCGGATGGAAGATCTTTGTCTCTCCTTCCCTCCATAATTCTGATCTGTCTTTCCAATAAAAATAAATAAATATTTAAAATTGAACCCCAAACTCTTATACTCAAGAATACCCTGTTTTCTACTTATTTTTGAGGCCTAGCAAGAGAGACAGGCAGACACATGCAGCTTCCATCGCTGCTTGACTTCCCACATGCCTGTGTCATCTAGGACCGGAGCCTGCAGCAGAAGCCAGGAGCCAGGCACTAAAGCCAGGTCTCTGGCAAGAAGGGTCCAGCACCCCGTTCCCCGAAATATCTCCTGCTGCCTGCCAGGGTTTTCATTAGCAGAAAGCTGGAGCCATGAGCAGAAGCTGGGTCAAAATCTCAGAGACTCCTGTGTGGAACATGGGCCTCTTGACTGCTGGGCTAAATATCTACTCCTGTAAACCAGACTTGTTCATGATTGTATGTACTGCTACTTGAGGTTATTTTCATTTGCCTCTACTATTCTAAATTGCTATACAAACTCTTGTGGTTTGAGGTTACACAATTTCACCTAAAAATTTTTAGGGATTATTATTTTTACCTTAAAAAAATACCCAAATACCAGAAACTCTCATTCTTCTCTTCCATATTAATGCTTTCCATTCCTCAAGGAACATCTCAAAATTAGTTTTTAAAAGCTGAATAAACCATAAAATCAGAGTGCTGGCCACTTTCCTCCTGACATCTCCACTAATGGAGCGCTTATAAGGATGCGGAATAGTTTTTTTCCATGAAAGTCTATTCCAGATTGAATATCAAAGGAGGCAAATTACTTAGTGTCCATGATCAAAAGAAGCAAAATTGCTACCAGTTTTCCTGGGTCCCAAACTCACATTCTTTTTCAGCACAATTGTGCGATTTCTACCTCCATGCTACTGAAACTCACCCATCAATAAAAGATGTTTTCAGGCCAGCACTGTGACATAATGCACCAGTCCTCCACCTGTGGCGATGGCATCCCTTATGGGTACCCGTTCATGCCCTGGCTGCTTAAATTTTGATCCAGCTCCCTGTTTATGGTGTGGGAAGCAACAGAGGAGGACTCAAATCCCGGGGACCCTGTTCTCACACGGAAGAGTCAGAGGAAGCTCCTGGCTTCTGGCTTTGGCCTGGCCCAGCTTCAACTACTGAGGCCATTTGCAGAGTGAACTAGCAGGTTTGCGCTCTCTTTCTCTCTCTCTCTGCCTCTCCTTGTCTCAGTAACTCTCCCTTTCCAAAGAAAAATAACTGAATCTTAAAAGTAAATGTGCTTTCTGCTTTGTGTGCGTGTGTATTTACATGTATGCAGGCAATCCTTTTTTTGCAAGAAAGTGTGGGACCATAAAAATGTTTGTGCAAATTGAAATCATGCCAGATGATATTAAAACCCAATGTGAAAAGTCATAATTGTTCCATGACTTTTAAAATATTAATGTATAGCTAGGTTGGTATACTATACTTTGCATGTCAAAATCATGAATATTAAGGTGTTTTACTCTTTTAGGAAAGTTGGTCAAGAGTAGTTTTTAATTTTATTTGTTTATTCATTTGAAAAAGTAGGAGAGAGAGAGAATGAAAGCTTCTATTTGCTGATTCACTTCCTAAAAGCACATAAAACCTGGAGCTGGGCGAGGCCAAAGCTGGGAACCAGAATCTCCATCTAGTTCTCTCCCATGGCTGGCACAGACTCAAGCACTTTGGCTGTCTCCTACTGCCTTCAAGTTCACATTAATTACAAATGTCAGACTATGTGTCCTATTTAAATTAAAAAAATTATAATCTAATGAGATTTTATATGTTTAAAGCTTCATGAAAAATGAGTAACTATTTTGCTGCCAAAAATGTTCGAAAATTTGCATTTCCATGAACTTTTTGAAGATTGCTCATGTAGTTTACTTTCTTGTTATTAATTTATGAAAGAAATACTTCTGTAAAAGTGTTTTATGATGTAGATACTATGTATTATCTCAAAATATGGAGACATACATAAGAAAATTTTGTTTAGGTATGTATTACATAATTTATAGCAAATCGAAACAAATATTCAGTTAAAAGCCTCCATTTCCTTCTCTTTGTAGATTCAAGAGGCAGGTGAACTTGGGATTCTTGGAGGTCATTTCAATACCTGCTTTTCTCTATCCAGACATGATACATGCCTGGCAATTCACTAATGGCTCAAAAACGATTCACAGGTATGGAATCTGAGAAAGCAGTGCACTTAAGGAACTCATGTTCTCCGATGAAATCCAGGAATTAGCATCCAGTAGACACTTGCAAGGATTGCAATGTGCTGGAGTGAGCTCTGAAAAGCTTGCCAAAGCTCCCCAGTGCATCTCTGCCAAGCTCTGCTTAGTGACATCAATGGTTAGCATGAAATCAGGCCTGGTGAGTACGTCTACACCGTAGGAGTGGGCAGATGTCTCAGACCAGGATATTCCACCTGTCACTCCCAGGTCAGCTATTACACGCTGACAAGCTCACCACTGACGGTGTATGCTGGTACTTACAACCAGTCATTAACAAAAATATAAGGAGGGGGAGGACAAAGGCTGCGATTATGAATCCTTACACCTAGATTCTAGTCCCAGCTTTTTTATTGGCTGCTTGTCCCTGATAACCCTGAGTTTCCCTTCCTTTTGAAATCTTAATGACATATTTAGAAGAGGAATTTTGAGAATAAAACTTTGATGATTATTTATAAAACAATATTGACAAAAGTTCTAGACATATAAAAGGGATGCATTTTTAATACATGTTTGGTAACAAATGTAGTCAATATTATGGGAATGTAAGTATTTGGTTCCTCAAATCCAGATTAATAAGTAGAAAGTTTAGAAAGCAGAAAAAGTTCTCCAAGGAGATCTTTTAGCTTTACTTTAGGAGTTTTGCCTGGCTTTTAATTTATGACCCGTACCATGCCTAGGTTGTGGAGTCAACGTGCTAGCAGCCATCCTAGACCCTTGTTTTTCCTCCAGCCCTTTTCATATGTAGCTAATGTTTCTTTTCAAAACTCTTATTCCATGAGATCCTTCTCCTCTCCTTTCCTCTGCCTTGAACTTGGCTCACACTTTCCCCTTAGAGCTCTGTTTGCTCCTTCTTGTCCTAACCCAGTACAGCTGCTCTATGCTGCCTTCTCCATGCATAGCACAAGAATCTTGTTTACAGGTGATCACGTTCAGAATCTCCCACTTGTCATAAAAAAAGTTGTGCTTCGCAACCTTGTCCCTGCCAAATCATCCATCCTCAGCATCTGTTCTGTCAGCTCTCTGTGCTCTGAAACTCAAGAGCCCTGCTCTTTTCTGCAATCACGCCCGCACCATGCTGCCCACCTGCAAGGAATGTCTTTCCACTTTCCCATCTTATTGTCAGATTGCTGTCACCATTGAAGTCTTCACATAGCACTTATTTTAGTGTCCTGTTATGAATGTCTTGTCTTTCCATTCAGATTATAGGGGCAGAAGGACAAGAACTGCACTGTGTGTTATTCTTTGGGCTGGTATCTAGTTCAGCGTTTGATTAGAACCCTTATTTATGCAACCATTGGAATAAGACCTAAAGTGAGAAAGAATATTAATGTTATCACCCAGAAGTTTTATCTAGATAAGAAGTTAACTAACCCTACTGTAAGATCAATATATTTTGTTTATTATACTTCAATAATGACACCAGACACTGTTCATTAAATGAGAGGGAAACTTGTTAGTATAAACATGTCAATTTTACCTAATGTACCTTGTGCTCTAATAGACTATTAAAGCCTGTTCTTTGTTAATGTGTAAATAAAATGTAAAGAATGACAAATATTAACAGATTATATTGCTTATCTTTAGTTGGCAAATGAAACAAGTGCTGGACTTCTGTATTTTGATGCTGTATTCCCAACCCAAGGCCACATACTATTTACAGGTAAAAACTTGGGGGGTGCGTATATGCCATATAAAATATTATTTTCTCCATTCCTTAATTCTTGCCTTTCTCATTGTGTTCCTTCAACTTACTTTATAACAAAAAAAATGTAGAAAATAACCTTAGAAAATACTACAATGAAATGCTAAAAGGAAACAAAATAAACTGTCAGTTTTTCTCACTGAATTCATGGTACCAGAGCAAATTAGAGTTACTTAAAGCAAACGCAAAAGAAAATTTTAAATTAGGGGAAAAAATAGAAATGTCCTGCCTCTGTTTCTTGGCTCACCATCTGACTTGCCTAAGCAGAGGTATTTTGAGCACTCATTTCGTGTCAGGCATTATCTTTGCTTCACCCTCCCCTCCTGAATTGCCTCACACTTTCCGAATGACACAGTCCTGTAGTGCCTGATTCTATGGTAAAAATAAGGAGCTTGCACATAGTGGGGGTCCCTGAATTCCTGCACATTGTTAAGTGATAACATGGAGTTTCTGAACATGTGGGCAGCTGACAGATGCTTGAGAAGTCTGCAGAAGGCCCTTGGAGAGTAGAGAGAAAGACAGGGAGCAAAAAGGAAATGTCTCCACTTTTTTTTTTTTTTAATGAAAATACCCCCTACTTCCTAGATGGGGGCAATGCAATGAAGCATGAAGTCTAACTTGGGTTTCTTTGTGATGTGAACACCACAATTCTACTGTGTGCCTTGGTACTGTGCCCAAGGACTTCCACTTTGTTTTTAATCATTTAGGGGGCCTTAGTTCTTAAATTATGCACAAGATACGTTATAGAAAGAAAGGAAAGTCTCATTTCCATGTGCTACTCTCTCTAGAAAGTCTTTATTTCAAGGCTTATTTGCACCATTACTGTAGTCAGAGGGCTGTGGACGAAATGGTCAGCCCCTTCTGCAGCTCTGCTGAGGCACCTCTTATCTAAAAGCATCAAGATCTTTGCTAGGGATGGACAGCTTCTCATCTGCCATCTTTACAAAAATAGGATGTTGAAAGTCTAACACCCAGAATGCTGAAATTCAATATGGATCCTCTGGAAGGTGATCAGCTGGTGCCCTTAGCCAGGGGACCTCAGAGAGTGAGCCAGCCCTGTCCCTGGTATGAGGACAGCATGGTCAAGCGCCGTCTGTGAAGACTCAGCCAATGGCCAACTCCACACCTTCTGATGGTTTCATCTTGGGCTCCCAGCCTCCAGAACTGGTTCTTGTTTATGAACCAGTCTGAGGCTTTTCATTGTAATATCCCAAATAGACTAAGACAATCCTATACCAGACAGTGGAGCACGTGTGAGGATGAAAAGCAATTCAGGTAAGAACTGTGTCAAACAGAATCCAGATTGAACGTGAGAGGTCAGTCTTTAGGAAATAAATGAATTACTCTCTGGTCTGGTTATTAGAAAACAAAAGATTTCTAACTAGAAACACATTCAACAAAATAAACTTAAAAATCATATTCATAAGAATGGTTTTTCAGCATAGACCACTACATTTTCTGTTTTCAAGCAATAACCCACTCAATGGAAGCATTTAATGTACTCATGCCTTTTTGGTTTGTCTTTTTCCAGCTAGAAGATGACATTGTTGCTAAACAGATGTACTTTACAAAAATAACAGATTTTGTACGTAATATGACTTTGCATGACTGGTTTTGCCTTGAATTTTCAGTGCTTGGGTTCATAGGTAAGCAATAGGTTTATTTTGCTGAATCAAGCCTTTAAAAGCATATGCACAGAATAATTTGAAAAGTTTTAAAGAATTGACCAAAGACTTTGTTACTAAATGGAAAGAAATGCCATGTTTTAGTAAACATACTTTTAACAGTAAAATCTGATGCAACTACTTCTATTTCCAATACCATATTTTTAAGCCAGAATTTTGTTTATAGATAATTTAAACAAAGCAGCATAAATGTACATGTTTATAAAAGAGTTACCATTTATTCAATCATTGCTATGGGTCTGGTACATATTAGCTTGGTGACTAAGTGATTTTTGTTTCATAGAAAAATGTTGAAATTTGAGATTTAAAGTTGTAGAGAAGCTTTACAAATATTGTGCCACTAAGTCTTTGCAATCTCCAGTATGCCAAAGCTGACATTCTTAAAGGATATAACAATGTGAAGTCTGTTGTGGTGCAGTGGGGTGACCTGCAGTTGGGGATATCTACATCCCACACTCGAGTGTGAATTCCAGGCCCAACTACTCAGCTTCCAGTCCAACTTCCTGCTAATGTGCCTGGAAAGCAGCAGGCAAGGGCGTGAGTGCATGAATGCTTGGACCCCTGATACCCACATGGGAAACAAGGGTAGAGTTTTAGCCTAAACTTGGCTATTGTGGATGGACATTTGGAAAGTGAACCAGCAGGTAGAATAATGTGTGTGTGTGTGTGTTTCTTTCAAGTAGTTAAAAAAAATAAACAGCTTTAAAAATATGTGACTTATGTTCACCAATGAAAAGTTCCTAAAATTGCCTGTACTGTGATTTTTTAAAAATTTTTAACCTTTTTTCATAGACTTTCCATGTTCTGTTCTTTGAGCCTCAAAGCAACAAGTTGAACACCATTCTCTTCATGTAGTAACACATGACACATTGATTCGTGCCAGAGTTGTTGGTGTTCATATGTTGAAAATAGATATGTAAACATACAGATATTCATGTAAAATATTTGGTGTTTTTCATGATTGTGTCTGCTTTAAGTTTGTAAAATTGATAATCCAGTTTTCCCTCAAAACTAGATCTGAGCATTATATTCTGAGCATTAGTTTATTGTTTCTTGCTGCCATGTAATTATGCATCCCCCATTTCTTGAGAGGTCCATTTTGATCATTTCTGATTTCCTGTGAAATCTGCATGCCCTGCGGTAGGGATGCTGAGGACTGATACAAATGGCTCTCTAGCCTTGCTGAGTTGCTTTGCAGACTGGCTCTGCCGTTGATGCTCTCATTCACGCCTTCCTCTACTTGACAGCATTTGATTTGTTCATTGATCACAATAATAATTTTTCATCATCTTTTTCTTCTCTTAATTCTTCCTTTTGGCATTCTGGGGAATATAAAATGTTTCTCTCGTTATAAGTAAAATCTGCCTGTATTACATTTATGTAACCATTTTTTTTAAATAAAATTTTATTTTCACATTCTTTACATAGTTAATTAGGGTAAGAAGGTTCAAGGGCTACAGGAAAGTGGATAATACTAGTATGTTTTCCATATTGACGTAACTGTTTTTCTTAGATTTTTCTGTAACACTATGAGACCTCTCAAGGGTTTTTGCTCAGCCTTAGTTAAAATATGAAAAAAATATATAGGTGATAGTAATGTTTGGTGAAGAGCTTAGAAAGGAAATGTATTAATACATAGCTGAGAATTTTAAATTCTCAAGGAATTTCTCCTTTTCAGCCAAGTCAAATATGAGAAGCACAGAAAATACTTTTATTCTTTTTTTCTTAAAGAATTTTATTTTGTTTGCTAAAGTGACAGAAAGAGGGAAAGACAGATATTAATCTTCCATCCTCTGGTTCACACCCCAGAAGGTCACAATGGCAAGAACGGGGCTGAAGCCAGGAGCCCAGAACTCATCCAGGTGTTTGATGTGAGAGGCAGAAGTCCATGTACTTGGACCTTCTGCTGCTGCTTGCCCAGGTGTATTAGCAAGGGGTTGGATTGCAAGCAGTGCAGCTGAGATTTGAACCTGCACCCCATGGGGAATGCCAGTGTCCTGCTCTTGCCCCAGTGCTGGCCTCAGAGAGTGATCTCCTTTCTGATCACGCAGGAACACACTGAGTAACATTTAAAAAGGCTTCAGTCTTGTTATCATGGTAACAATTCTATTAATCATTGTTTACATTGGCAGTGATCTTATTAAATAAAATTTTATAGCATGCTGGCATACCATTTTTGTCGTTGAGCGAAGTGTTTTGGATACTGCATTGTGTGACATCCATTTTGTCATTGCATGGATGACGACAAAGTTAAAAATATGCTTACATTTGAAGAATGAACTGTGCTTACATCCTGCTATTGTGATGATTAAATGTCTCTGTGCATTATACACTAATACTTTAAAGTGCACAATTGTCTGATAGTGTTCTTTCAACTTCATTTGAAGATTAGAAATACACTATATTAGGGGAGAAATGAGCCCGATGAGCTAGTTTAAAGTAAAGATTTGGGAGTAGTAACTAGAGGTAATATACAGATTAAAAAAAAAAAAAGCCCAGATGTTGAGATAGCACACAATTCTAGAAAAACTTAGAAGCTTAAAATGTAGACAAAGTGCTACAAAATTCAGGTTGTAAATTACAGTTTGTCAAAATTAAGTAAGTAAAGCTCCTATAATTTCCATTCTATTTCCTTATTTTTCATTTAACTTAGAAAATCTACCCTCATTGGTTGTCAGCATTGTTCTCTTGTCCATGCTGGTTATTCTAAATCTGCATGCACTGCTGTGTTTTGGCAAGATGATCTTTCATATTTAAGCAGATGTAGCATTTTATTTTGTTATCCTCAACTTCATTAATGATTTTAACTTTCTTTCTAAGGAATAAAAAGTATTAAATCCTATTTCTTTCTTTTCTGCCTTAATAGAATAGACAACAATATGTGAGTGACTTGGATTTATTTACTTTTTCTCCACAGGAAAATTATTTAGGTCAGAGGACTTAACTGATATTGTACGATTCTTTCTAATGTTCTACAAGGACAAACCCATTGATGCGCTCTTAAGTGAAATCTTTCATTTAAAGACGTGTGATACAATAAAATATCAAGTGCGTATTGATTTGCTTTTTGTTTTGTTTTCTTTCTCTCTGTATCATTCTACCTGGAGCAATTAATTTTTCTATAGACTCAATTCAAGTGTTATAATGTGTCTTGTACCTGGGTAGCAGGTACCTGAGCACTGAGCCATCCTCTGCTGCTTTTCCAGGTGTATTAATGGAGATCAAAGTGAGAAGTGAAATATCTGGGACTTGAACCAGTGCTCATATGGGATGCTGGCACCACAGGCAGGGCTTAATCTACAACACCATAACATAGGTCCATAGATGTGTGTATTTATGAGGTGTGTTGCCAGAGGTCAGCTTTCCTGCTTTTATTTTTAAGGAAAAAATACTTTCAAATTATTTTCTATTGTGAATAATATTGGTAACTTTTAAAATTGTGTACTTTTTTACTACTGAAAGGAATTGAAGGGTTGCAATTCAGCACAGGAATTAATGCGTTTGGGAAGGGAAAGAGAATGGTATAGTCCAATAGATCTGAATAGGCAGGATAATACTAAAATTGTTATTGAAGTTATTGGGAATAAACTAAAGGAGAAGAAAATTATATTTGGTACAATAGCTGCCTTATCAGAGCCACTTCACAGAAAGTACATGCTTTAACTAAAACTCCTTTCAAACATCAGCTGTTTGGCTTTATTCTTAAGGAAAAGGTAAGAATTAAATGTTTACACTTTAAGTAACAAGTTACGACTCTAGCAAATACTAACATTTCTGCCATCAGTAAGTACAATAAGAAGGAATATTTTTTTTTAACAATTTTTTTTCTGTTTATCCTTAGGTAACGTGTACTCAGCGAAAGAAGCAAATCTGTGTTCGGCATAATCCATCTCTTTTCCAGCATGTGGGCATACATTCATCTTTCCTGGGAAAAGAGCAACATTCCAAAGTAAGATTTTTGAAAAGTAACCTTGGCCACATATGGTAATTCATAAACATAGAGAATATTTTGGGAAAAGCAAGGATGTCAATGAGACTATAAGTTATAATTGTCTTTAAGTATAATTAATCTAATGATGAGTATATTTTGTCAAGGGTAATCATAAATTGAGTAATGAATTTTTAAAAGACTGAAGTTATCTGTCCTGGTAAGAAAACTCCAGCTTACATAAACTTCTGCTTTGCTGTCCCAAGTTCTGAAATTGAAAAGATAAGATTAAAAATATGTCCCGATAGGAGCCCCAAGCGGTCCTCAGAAAGAGAACAGTAAACTTCTTCGGGACTCGGGAGAGGAGCTTTCTCTGGTCCTTACTTAGTTCCAACTTTGACTCCCCCCCCCTCTCTTGCAGTGACCATCAGGGTCACTCTGGAGCCCCCAAAATTAGATCAGATAGAGAGAGACCAATAAGAAAAGCTTAGAACAGACAAGAAAAAGTCAGTTTGCACTCTCATATACCTCACAAAGATTAGTTACTCCTCACTAAGGTACTGAAGATTTCTCTGCACACCCCTCCTAAAACTGTTCTGCTCCTCAATCTTTAACATTTGGGAAAAAAAAGAGTTATAAGCCTGTTTGGACTATCCTAAAATTCACGAAGTTCAGTAAAGTCACACTTGAATACTATAAGCGGCTAAATATAAATATAAAGAAAAAAAAGACACGAGACAGCTGAATAGTACCCTATAACTATTTTAAGGTTTATAGCAGTCGGTTATGTATAGACTAAAAATGAAATGTCCAGGATGTGGCTAAGAACTTGCATTTTCTAACACATTGGTTACTCAGTAGCATGCCAATTAACTTTGTGATGTTGTAAATTTCCATGTTTCTTCCTGTTGTTGAATTTGTGTTGTGGCTTTTCACTGGAGGGGGATGATATTCTGCCAGCTTTACTTTCAGACCAAGGATGGTCTCCCAATGAAACTGTTGAATTTATCTGCACAATAAGATGCTGGACTCCCTGCATGCCTGCAATGATGGAATTATGACTGGTTATGAGCTGTACTGCTGTAATAATATGGAGGAAATCAATATAGGGGGAGGGTTTGGGAAGGGGTTGAGGGAATCCCAGAGCCATGGAACTATGTCATAAAATGAAATAATAATTAAAAAAAAAAGAATTAGAGTATAAACAGGGTTTCCAAATTTTAGACAGAAGGTGTTTATGCTAATGCACATGTCTCAGGAAAAGAGATACTTGTGTTATTAGACTACAAAGAAGTTAAACTTATTAAACGCATCAGGATTTGAAAAAATGTATGTTCTGAAAATATAGTATGATGTAATATGATTAGTTTAGAATTCAAAATTATACAGGAATATTTCAAAAATTAAATCCCAGTTATGTAATTTAGAGGTGTCAACATTTTTATTTCAGACCAGTTTACCAGATGAGGAAAAATCCAATAAGGTTGATTCTTAGTCATCCCAAAATTTTGTGTCATTTTTGGAAAGATATGTCTTTTTAAATTAATTATTTATTTATTTGAGAGACAGGTGTACAGAGTAAATTCCCATCTTCTGGTTCACTCCCCAGATGCGTACAAAGGCTGGAAATGGGCCAGGGCTGAAGCCAGTTAATTAGTCTGTAGCCTGGATTTCAAACTGCATCTTCCACATGGATGGCAGGACCTAATCTTATGAGCCATTACTTCTGCCTTTCAGGTCCCTTCAGGTTCTGGAAGCTGTAGTCAGGAACCAGAGCCAAGGATTAAACCTAGATATCCTGTTCTGGGCCAAGGGTATCTCTACCACTAAGCTAACCACTTACTTCTGCAAGTATTGATAACTGATGCATCATCTTGGTGGAGTAGAAGCCACAAAGAAGTATATATACATATATATCTCCTAAATTATATACCCCTCTGTGCTTTCTTCATCTAAAACGAAGAGTTTAGATGTAACAATCCTTAATTTCCACCTCTGAAATGCTACTGATATTTCTATCACACAACAAAGGAGATGATTGTTTTAATTAATCCATTGTCCATTAAGATGGGAAACGCACATAGGAATACCCGTGTCCCATCAGTCATGACCTGCCCTCTGCCAAGCTTTCCTGCTATTTTTAAAATACAGCCCTTTTTGGAAGAGGAGCCAGACACAGTGTGAACTCAGTTAATATTAGCTATTATCTATCAAGCAAGGTGGAACCTAAGAATGACCACGTGTGTTGAAGTAAATGCTCGAACTGATGAAAATGGAACTGCTGTGAATCTTTATGGAAGAAATAACATCAATCATTGAAATACAGAAACCAGCTGCAGATGGTACAGTAAGAGATTGGCCTGTGACAGTGTATGTTTTGGTGCTGTGATGGAATTCCTGTCATCCGTTACTCGTTCTTGCCAGATGAGGTATTTTAAGTTCATTTTAATGAACTCATGATATGAAAGTAGATGATAGATAGATAGATAGATAGACAGACAGACAGTATTCCTGGCTTATTGTCCTCATACCACATAGAATATAAATAAATAAATAACAATTTAATCATATGTCATATGATTATATTTCAATTTTTTAAAATCCTAACAGGATATTTACTATTAGGAGTCTCAAAATTACACCAGCCTCTTTAAAAATTATCACAATCCTTCTTTGGAAAAAATTATCTAACAAGGATTACATTATTTCTCAACATTCTTAAAAATGGATATTGCATTATACTTTTAAAAAATTAAATCCTCAATAATAAAATGGTAAGTACCTTTTTTATATTTTTTCTTTAATATTTGTTTTAAGTCTTTCTTAGAAATTTTTACACAAGATTTTTGCCAGTTATATTGTGTCACACTTGTTATAAAATTATTTTAGTGTAAGGTAAATTTCTATGCAGAATTATTGGGTAGAAAATATTTTGTTCCTATTCATCTAGTTTATTGTTCAAAAATGATCACTTAACAAGGCAAAAAATGTAACATCTTCTTAGTGATGAACTTCTAAAAATGATTTTTAAAAATTTTTCCTAGATCTTCAATTTAAATGTTTTTTTTTTTTTGCCATTTCTTGTTCTACATCTATAATAAACATAAGTTCTTGTAGAAGCAGCTAAAATTATTTCAGTGTCAATAAAATGACAGTTTCTGAAAATTTGGATCAGATACCTGCATGAGTTTTTTGGCTGTGTTGTGCGTTTTCTGTAATTTGCTAACGCTCCAGCCACATTAAAAGTCTTTTTCCTGGGCCCGGCGCAGTAGCCGAGCAGCTAAAGTCCTCACCTTGTATGCACTGGCATCCCATATGGGTGCCAGTTTGTATCCTGGTGGCTCTGCTTCCCATCCAGCTCCCTGCCTGTGACCTGGAAAAGCAGTCAAGGATGGCCCAAAGCCTTGGAATCCTGCACCCGTGTGGGAGACCCAGAGAAACTCCTGGCTCCTGGCTTCAGATCGGCACAGCTCTGGCTACTGCGGTCACTTGGGGAATGAATCAGCAGATGGAAGGTCTTTTCTCTGTCTCTGTATATCTGATTTTGCAATAAAAATAAATAAAATTTTTTTAAAACAAAAGTCCTTTTCCTTTTGCCATAGTACATTGGGTTTAAATATGCTGTAATATGTTAGATACAGTACAAGTACCCAGTTCACCTGGATTTCAGTGAAATGATGATTCTGTGTCCCATTTTTTTTTATGTTGATGAATTAGACAAGCATAGGTGGAGGTGACAGACAGAAGAGAGGGCAGAGGGACACTTCCCACAAAAACACTGTACATGAATTCTCATGTAGTGTCATGCTGAGCGTTTACCACTAAATAATTGTGTTTGACATTCCCCATTTTTTAAAACTTACTTACAGTCCTGTTTCTCTTTTTTTTTTATGTAATGATACAACTTTGGGGCTAAGAAAAAAATATTCTTTTGAAAAGAACAGCTTGATTCCTTTGTGAGTTTTTTTCCCCCTTTAACTAAAGAAATCCAAACCTAATTTTACATGAAATGTAGTGCCCATAACATATTCTCAGCAAAAGTTCTTCATCCTGATTTGAGATCTATTCTCTGTACTTATTTCATTATATGTTTTAACTTCATATTTACTCAGTTATTCTAGTTGAGAGGCAGAGAAAAAGAAACGCAGCTTCCACTTCGCTCTCTGTTGCCCAAATGCCTGCAGAAGTTAGGACTTGTCCAGACCGAAGCCAAGAGCTCAGTCCTGATCACACAGGCAGGCAGCAGTGACCCAGCCATTTCCTCCGTCTGCACCGCCTCTTGGGGTGCACACAGCAGGAAGCCAGAACCGGGAAGGGAGACAAACTAGAGCCAGGTACTCCGCATCCCAAGCAGTGTGTTCACCGCCAGGATGGCTGCTCTTCCTTCATATAGTGTTACTAAAGCATTGTTCATGTGCTTTCATTAAAATTATCTTAAGTCTTTTCTATATATGTTATAATATATAATATACTTAGTATATTATTGTATGTAACATAATATAAAGAATATATTATATAATATATGCTGCATGTAAATATTATATGTAAACACTATATTATCATACATTATATGAATATATCATTATACATTATATATATAAGTGTGCATTATATACATATTATACAAATAAAATTATATAATATGTACATAATTATAACTCTATATTATATAATTAATATAATATGTATTAACATAATATATTCTATATATTCTATGTAGAAAAGATTTATAGATTTGTTTATATTTCAAATTATTAAAATGCAATGAATGTTACAACAACATTTATACAGCCATTTATTTATCACAATGACAACCAGAATATATAGACTTCCGAGGAAACCTGCAGTAGGTAATCTGTGTTCAATATTTTGACATCAGGACAGCACTAAATTTGACATCTAATACAATTGACAGTTATGTCTTTGGGCGCCAGCATTATACCATAGTGAGTAAAGCCACAGCATGCGACAAAGGCATTCTGCATGGGCACTGGTTCAAATCCCAGCTGCTCCGTTTCCGA